TTCAATCGAAACGAATTTAAATTACTGTCAGATATTTGTAACCTCTAGTAGCAAGTATCCTGAGCGAGCAGTTATACACCGGCTGTCATTTCACAATACTAGGAGAGATCGCGGCTTCCGCTCTCCCACAGGAACTCAAACGGTGGTGGACGAATTATTTGAGTGGTCGGCAGGAGAATTAAGCAAGGGGTTCCACAGTTTTGTATCCTTTCCGTACTACTGTTTTTCTTATTTTATCTTGAAGCTTCCACTGCTATCGGAGGGATTTTCTCTGATCCAAAATGCTGACGACTGTTCGATATTTGCGTCCGGGAATGGAGTTGATGACCTCTACCCATAATTAAACGACTACCTCTCTTAGGGGCAACCTTTCAAAGTCTTCTCTCCTTCTCCTCGCACACAACCGCAATTGTGAACATAGTACAGGGCCGAAACAAGGCTGCAAATATACAAGACAACTCGCCGGCCGGCTCTGAACCATGCAGTGCCCCTTTGGTCACCGGGGACTAGCGAGGCGAAGTAGACAAAGCTGTAAACATGTCAGAACGCCACACTCCGCAACGACAGGACGTACCGACGAGTGATCAACGGAATTCGTAAAGAGTGGTGATCGACTTTTAGCTCAGCACCAATCGTTACTCTGGTCTTAGCTTTTAGATATTCGCAACATCCCTACTCAATACATTGTGTTGGCGTAATTGAGAGTTCTATGTACCAACTACGTACATATCGTCGTTTAAATTACAAAACCGCGTATCAAGATAACGCAAACCCGCCGATGTGAGGTTGCATAAATTATTTTCTAAAGAGTAAAACACTCATATCGCATTTCTGGCTAGTATATTTCAGGACGAATGGATAAGAATTGAGCCAAGAGCTTGTCTGAGCAAATCCGTTTTTTGGCAGCAAATCTCGGTTACGCGGTTTTGTACTTTAAACGACGATATGTATGTAACTGTAATTTAATAAATGTTTCCTTTTCTTTTTCTTTCCAGCTATGTACGTCTCTTTGTTAAACTAATTGTTTCTGGCGACATTAAGTGCATAAGCCAATAGACATGGGAGCAATATAGATAGGATATATATTTCGGCTACGCAAACATGGTAAGTCTTCTTGTATAGCTTTGGAAAGTTTCTATGTTTGTTTATTTTTGAATTATACTTATCTAAAAGTTCACTTATGACGTCTAAAAAATATTTTCGGCATATTGCACATAGAAACTCCTAATTTTATACAGACCGTTGCTTAGGGGCGAAGGAATAACACACTCCAGAAGAATTGGGACCTAGAGATTGTTGGAGAGCAGCCATACTTTTCAGCTGTGTACCGGGACCATTCGAAATGAACTCAAAATGGAAAGTTTTAATAGACTTTCAGCTTTTTTATCTAAGCTCAAACTTTTTCTTCATAAAAATATGTTCCCTATATATTTTCGCAATTAGAAAAGCACAAGTGTGGATAATAATAATAATAATAATAGATTGGCGCTTACACATATGTTAGTGTTTGGCCGAGCTTCTCCTCCGATTTGTGGTGTGCGCCATGATGTTGTCACACAAAGCGAAGGGACCTACAGTTTTACGCCGACTCCGAACGGCGATTGTATTTTTATGAGAAGCCGTTTTTCATGGCAGAAATACACTCGGAGGTTTGCCATTGCCTGCCGAGGGACGACCGCTGTTAAGAAAAAACCTTTTTCTATATTTTTTGCGATGTTGCTTTGACCAGGGTTTGAACCCAGGTGCTGATGAGTGAAAGCGCGCACTGCTTACCACTACACCACAGCGGCCGACAAGTGTGGATAGCAGCAGTAATTATTTTTAAATGTGCATTCCACCTGCTCCTCCATATTTCAAAAATGAAAATTCATTCTAATGACAGCTTAACTAAATTAGGTGATAAGACCACGTTCACTTTGAGGCGCGAAAGTTATGTAAACTAAACTTTTTTTTTTTAAATACCATCAACCATTACCGAGACATATTTTTATTATAACAAATAGTCGAAAAGTGAAATAAAATGAAGTGTTATGAAATGAATAAAGAGAATTGAAAGAAACGTTTGCCAACTTGTTTGAACGCCTTGGCATACCGGAGACAAAGATTTGAACGACGTCTGGGCCTTACTCTGTAGTCCGAATTGAAAAGGTTCGAATTCGAACAAATGTACTATTGATTCGAACTACAGATTAGGTTAGGTTCGGTTGAAGTGACTGCCAGTGACCCCACTAGCACACATGGGCACGGCACTTAGGTTGTGGGCCCGTTGTGATACCACAGGGCTCATTAGAACCCTCCTACTCTTCAAAGTATCCCGAACCCAAAAACTTTCATCTTCTTCTGCAAAGTTTGGGGCATTCGCATAGCAAGTCTTTATGTCTGCAGCTTCTGCAGAAGTCGTTATGAGGGACCCTTAATTTCCGCGCGTGCCTTCCAACATCACCATGGCCTGTTAGCAGACCCACAACTGCGGCTGGGTCCCCTCTGCTCAGCATGAGGAGATCCTTCGACCGCTTTTCGTCCCATTTTTGGCCACGTAAGCTTCGTGTTGTTGCAAGTGGTGGTAGTCCCACCACATGTTCTCAGGTAGCGAGTCGAATGCTTTGAGTGCGGCCTGACTGTCTGAGTAGATGAAGATATCGTTACATATAACTTCTCTTGTACGTAGGTGTTCAATCGCTTCCTGTACAGCAGCGACTTCAGCTTTAAAGACGCTGCAGTGGTTGGGTAAGCGAAATGATATTTCAAACTAACGAGTAAGTTCCCTAAAAAGCTACACGATCAATTTGTCCAGATTGATCTGAGTTCCTCCCTTTTTTCCGCGTTCTGTATGATCATCAACGAATTTCGATTGTTTATACCGCTCTACCCAATTCTCCACGACAATCCTTTTCGACTTTTTTATAAATTAAACATTTTGAATAGAATAACAGCGTAGCGACGAGCTTCCCGATGTAACAGCCGTTTTGATACAAAAAAATAATATCAATAAGCTCCTCCTCCTTGCTGAATACGCTATACATACATATATTCGCCATACAACCCTGAGTCTAAATTATTTTCGCAAAGCATTTTGGAAAAAAAATCTTTGGTATTTTTTTACATTTTTCGTTATACCTTCAGCTTTTTAAAGTATGATATATAAATTCGCGATGGGATCAAAGCATGCTCTACTTTTTGTACAAACATAAAGTGGCGGTCAAAAATGGTTGAATGGTGTTTCGTTTTTAATATTTACAATATTTTTCAAGCTAAAATTGTTTTGATATGTTTTTATAAAAATATGGTTCATTCTTTAACAAACGCTATATAAATCATACTTTCAAACTTTATACAGAACTTAGAAAAATTCCACAAATTTGTATCTAAATATCGAGCTTTTTAACTAGAATTTTTAGAATTTTTCGGGTATGCAGTTAACAAGCTTATAAAACTCTAGTAAAATAAGTGCACGTTTTGAGCGGCTAAAAAATTGCATTGATTGTTAATAATTTTTTTTTTTGCTTTTACGGGTTTTTCTTCATATAAATAGCGAAATTTATAAAAACTGGCGTTGACCTTTTTTATTATTTTTGCCAACGGTCATGCGCATATTCATCCATAAGAAATTCGTGTTTATATGGAAAAAAGTGCAAAACACTTACTAGAATTTTATAAAAAATTTCTAAAAATGCTGGTTAAAAAGCTCCAAATTTTTTAAGTAAAAATTTGTGGAATCATTCTTAGTTCTGTATAAAGTTTGAAAAACTGATTTATACAGCTTGAAAAACATTGTAAATATTAAAAACGAAACACCATTCATCCTTTTTTGGCCGCCACTGTAATTCAGTTAACTTTTGGGTTAACTTTTCTGAACTTATAAATTTGTCAAACCAACCATTTGCTTGAGGGTATTCCCCGAATTTCTGAGCATTTGAATTTGAGAGTTAAACCCCTGGGGTAATTTCGGTTAACATTTTCGAGATTCTACTGTTCTTATAACCCTTTTGAAGGCAATTGTATTGACACTGACATTGATTATTGCAGCATAGTAAATAAATTTGTATATATGTATGTACATATGTATGTACTTACTACTACTAACATTTGTCAGCATGTATGTATGTATGTACTCGTATGTCGCCACATGCATTCGCTGTAGCAATCATTCAAGTTCAAAAGCACGCCGCTACATATTTTACATATGTATGTACATATGTATGTATATTCATTGTAATGGTTTTTATCAGTAAATTGTCACCTGGCTGGCTGGTTGTCTCCCCACCGCTGCTACTCACCACTTTTTATCCCTCAAAGCCAATGCTTCCGCCACCCTGCCCACCAATTGTACAAATAAATGCATAGTTGCAACAACAATTAACCGAACTGATTACACAAAGCAATAAAAATTTTACCGTAAGTATTACCGTAAAATATGAAGTAAAATTAAAACAAAATGCGAACGTGCTTAAAAGTGCACACAAATTAAGAACGAAGCACACACCAGGGTGTCCAGATTGTTTAAAAAAAAGCGCAATTTCTAAAAAAAAAATCGCCAATATTTTTTTTTAAATAAAATTCATGAAATCGATTTAACAAATCTTTTATTTTAAAAATGAGATTTTGGGGTAATCGTTTCAAACGTTCTTCGATTAGGATGATTAAACATTTTAATATGCTTCTTAAGTCAAGTTTATCACGCAGTTCATTAGCCTCTTCTGTAAAATTATCGTGGAAAACTAAGTTTTGTTTATTTTTATAATTGGAAAAAATTTATTTGAAGGGAAAAAATCGCCAAAAAGCGCCAATGCCGATTTCTTAAATTTTTACGCGCAAATATCCAATAAAAATCGCCAAATCTGGACACTCTGGCACACACACACGCAGATACTCGAAAACTCATTAAAGGCTGTGTTTGGCAAAAGTTCGTTTATCTATTTGCGTATTTAAGTATTAACTGCATTGTGGACTATTTAAGCGAATTAGCAAAGCACCGGCAGAATTATTTTTATCTGTTGTAAGAACGCCACCGTGGCAATTCGGCGCTTTCAACTCGCACCGCCTGCCGAAACTTTTCAATGACAGTGACAATTGTTGACAGCCATTTAACATTTGCGCAAATAAACTAGTAGAAAAGTGCAAATAACAGCCGCATAGCAGCATAATATCAAACGTTTTAAGACACATAATCGGGCTTGTTAACTGTAATGTGGATTAATAAACCAAAAAATTAGTTATATTTCATTATTATGATGCGTGGCTTTACTAAGTCGGAGGAAAAACAACAATAGTAACAAGCAGTCACTAATTCTTGTTGATTTTTCACCAAAACAAGTGTCTTATTTACCCATATGGAAATGTAGTACAACAATCTTCTGCGGCATTTTATCTGCAAATTAACTGAGTTTCTGTCTGCTTATCAGCCGAATTTGTCGCAAAAACAAATACTATTAATATTCATATACATACATACATACATATATGCATATGTACATACCTATATATGTATGAAGGGAAAAAGTGTATGATTTCAACGTACTTCTTAGTGAAAGACCTAAATTAATCGTACAACACGTATCAGTTAGTTGCCATTTACTAACGGTCCTACTACAATCAGTCGCAAGAGCAACTCGTCAGCGATATTACAGTAATGAGCGCAAAGCTAAGTGAGTAAATTAATGAAGCTTTAAAAAGGTTCAGTTAAAGGACATGCAGTGTGGTTCTCATGAACAGAATAATTTCATTTATGTATATAAATTAAATAAGTGTTAGCTACAGTGGCGGGCACACAAATCGGCAGCGGCAGTGTAAAAATCCAAAATAGCTGTATGTTTCAGCCAAACAAAGATAGCGAGGATGCCTTCAAACCAGAGACATAATTATTATGAGAGAAAAGAATAACAATCAATCAATAATCATTATATTAAGATAAATATTTTTCGAGTCCTCTTTAATTATTATTCAAGGACTCATATTATAAAAGTCTTTTCATAATAATTATCAGAGAGATAAATATTTTTAAGTCTTCAAAGACTTTTATTTTAAGACTTATATTATAAAAGGTTTTTTATAATAATTATCATTGAGATAAATATTTTTAAGTCTTCAAAGACTTTTAAGACTCAAAAAAATTTTTCGCGCTCATAATTATTATGACAAGATTTTTATAATATAAATCTCAAAATAAAAGTCTTTGAAGACTTCAAAATATTTATCTCGCTGATAATTATTATGAAAATACTTCTATTATATAAGTCTTAAAATAATAGTTATCGATGACTTAAAAAATTTTCTAACACATAATTATTATCAAAAGACTTTTATAATTCTTACGAAAGTTTTGATGACTTTTTCAAAACTCCACCATGAAGTAATTATTATTCTGAGTCTCTGCCTCAAACACTACAAAAAAGTACCTTACTATAGGAAGACACTTCCTTAAAACGGCTGAAAATGGATGTTTTCATTGTCTTAAAGAAGTTTACTTGAAAAAGTAGTAGAAAAAAACTACATTGCCCCTCGCAGTTCGAATCGTGCATAGATACGCTGGGAGATACATATATAGTATATCTACTAGGTGCAGACATTTTAGTTTGGGCTGTTCGTAGTCGACAGATTCTGCAGGGATTATTATTTCTTCCTGCCCATAACCAGGCTTCTTTTGCCTACGGCTGTTTGACGAATAAGACTAAATGTGAATATTACGGCGTCCTGCATAGAAGCAAAAGCGGGAATTAATTTAGAATGCCTAAGTATCTTTTTCCCCTTTGTCTGAACAAACGAGTCGAAAGTTTAAATGAGTTATGTATGACAGAGGGAAACCTAAAGGTATTCGAAATGCTCAGTTTTTAACAAGGTTCCTCTGGAGCTTTAACGAAATACGATTCGGTGTATTTAAACCTTAGCCTAGCGAAAGTAGGACACAGAAGAATACAGTGTTGAGATGATTTCTCTCAGCGTCTGTCACGAGCTCCTAATAGACATCGAGAAATACCGGTTGTTCAGCTTAAGAAGCTACTTGACTTGGCTTGTGGTCCTACACCGAAGAGAGGGATGTTTCAACTTTGCATGTCGGGGTTTAAGTTCAGCGCTCGCTGAGCGGATTTCAAGTAAATATGTCCAGGAATATGTAAGCCGTAAGTTGTCTGAGGAATTTCTTCCACTTTCGGAAAAAATTGCCTCGATCGAGGGTGGCTTGCCTAGAATATGCAACACCTTTGCAGTTAAAGCCTTATTTGGAAGTATTCCGTTGCGACCTAGAGAGAAGTCAGGCAAAAGGACCTCGTAACTTTGCAAGTCGGTGTTTAAGTTCAGCGCTCAGTGAGCCGACTAAACCACCATTTTCCCAGGAAAAGACATCAGGTTGTGACGGGAATTTCTATACCTTCCTTGCCAGAAGATCGAGTATGGATGACTTGTCTAAAAAAAATTTATCAGCTCTACAATTCTCTGACATGGGACCTATATAAGTCAACTTAATTGGTACTGACCACGCAGCTCCCAGTATCATGCGCAAAGTGAAGGAAGCGGTTTGATATCAACTGCCTCGCCGCGTTCATTAGTTTTTAAGGTAACGTCTTAAGATCGCAAAGATACGCACCGCATCTTTTCACAGATCCATTCTAAGATTTGTATATGTACTTGGTCTACTTATTATCTACGAGGTTTAAAGTCACACTGACAACGTCGAGCTAGTTTTTTTCGGCAATATTTACCTTAACACGTAATCCCATTGATAGGATTTTATTTACTCGCGAAGATCAGAATGCTGATCCAAGGATAGATGGTACGCTCCGGCAGTCTTATTATAAATTCTGTTGCCAGCAGACAAGTTACATATCGTTATTTATTATCAGATTTATTCATTAATTGTTTTAAAAGTTCTTTGCAAATCTTTCTGTAACGATTAAGCTACTACTAATTCTACTAAAATCAATACATACCCAAATGCATTCACTAATTCCTTAATTTTAGCTCTAGTCCCCAGCCTATTGCTGCTGATACTGCTCAATGGCATCCATGGAGGACTTGCGCTCTTTGAGGGCTGCGACAATACATTCACAGTTAATCCAGGCGTCTCCTATCTGGAATCACCCTATTATCCCAGTGACTATCCTACGGGAACATCATGTCGCTACCAGTTCATAGCACCAACTGATTACTACATACAAGTGAACTGTACCGTCGACCTGCCAATTGTAAGAAACTCTCACTGCTTCCAATCACATAATTTGTAAATCTTAAAATATTTTCCTACCCCCTCCACCCCAAAGAATGGCAGTAATTGTGACACAGAATACTTTTATGTCAGCACCGAAGGCGATCCACAACTGCGCGATTCGGAGCTATTTTGTGGTGTAGGCTCATTCGTGAGGGATTCCCTATTCAGGAGAGTGGCCATTGCCTATGTATCTAAGGGTTCCACAGGCAATTTCCGCTGCACGCTAACAACTCAACCGCAGTCATGCGATTGTGGCTGGTCGATAACAACGAAAATCGCGAATGGAGAAGCAGCGGGCCAAAATGAGTTCCCATTCATGGCGGCATTGAAGGATACGACATCGAGTAGTGCCGCTTTTTGCGGTGCTACAATAAGTGAGTACGCGATTACATATTAACGAAATAATAGCTAATTGCTGTGAGAATGCAAATATGTTTTTCTTAAATTCAATTTTAGTTTCACATCGCTTTCTATTAACTGCTACACATTGTACTATAGTACAACCAAATGCTACTAATATTAGAGCGCTTGTTGGTTTCAATCAGTTATCTACAGGTACATATAAATACATTTTGTTCATCGCTTTCGACTCTTAGCATAGCTACCGTTTTTATTTTTTTTTGTCATTCCAACAGCGAGCTCATCTCAATATTATGCTTCATATGCAATTCAAAGCATCATACAATACCCTGGCTATACCGATAATCCACCCGTAAATGACATTAGTCTACTACAAACCGCTACAAATATTGAATGGTGGAGGGGCGTGGGCCCGATTTGTCTACCACCATCCTCGTAAGTGCAAAGATAGTAATTATGTAGTTAGCAAAAGGCTTTATTAAAGTAAGGAAAACTGAATTCCATTCTTCTCTTTCCTAGATTAACGACTTTTGTTTACAACTACGTTGACGTCGCCGGTTGGGGCACACAAAGTTTTGCCGGTCCGACTAGCGACGCGCTGATGAAAGCCAACCTGATGGTAATTTCCAACTCCGTGTGCCAAGAGAGTTACGACGTTACGATTTATTCTTCACAAATCTGCACAAATGACTATGCGGGCGCTGGTCGCGATGCCTGCCAATTTGACTCGGGTGGTCCAGTTATTTTGCGTGGCTCGCGTCTCTTTCTAGTAGGCTGTATTAGCTATGGACAGGCTTGCGGTCAGACATACGGTACTGGCGTGAACACACGCATAACTTACTACTTGAATTGGATACGTCAACAGACGGGCTATACGACGTGCGTTAAGCAACTGGGTTAATACTCGTACCGTTGAACTATGACTGTGTGCTTATTTGTTGTTATTTAGCTGTGCTGTAAATAAAAATCTGTCTGTCAGTAAGAGAAAAAAAGTAGCAATGGTTGTTGACTTAAGTAATGTTAAGTAAGTATTTTGCGATTTTCGATTAAGGAGGCAAAAGCTCTCGCCGCACTGCGATAAGCCCAAAATTGGGGTTAATGGCGTTCTTGCAGTGAAATGCTTTCTAGAACTGAAATGAACTGGCACTTTCTGTACAGTCATTCAGTGTAACTAGTGGCAAAGGTATGGCGCTGCAATTCGCTAAAGGCACGCACTCATTGTCGATTTCGAAACTGTTCATGCTTGCAACGCTGCTGATAGCTCAATTTTGCATAGTGAGCGCCCAGATTGGTTGCATTTTGCAGGACTATTACCTGTCCTCAAATCAGCAACTACTCAACATAACATCGCCCAACTACCCCAACAGCTATGGAAGGGGCACGAATTGCCGCTATCGCATAATAGCACCGTACGGACATGTGGTTGTACTCAACTGTATTTTCGAAGTGGTAAGTGAGCCGTGACATTTTTCAACTCGGAATCATATCTTCTTTTTAGTACCCCAATGAGTGTGGCACTGAGTACTTCTATATCTCGCGCGATGGCGATTTAGACTTTCGTGAAGGCGAAACCTTTTGCTCGAACTCCAATATAGTTCGCACATCGTTTTTCCAGCCCATGACTGTGGGCTACTACTCGGCCGCACCGAACACTCCGCAGCAAGGGCGTTTGTTTTGCCGGGCTTATGCGCAGCAGCAACCTTGCAACTGCGGATGGACGACACGAACACGCATTACAAATGGGCGGGAAGCCGCTAAGCATGAGTACCCCTCAATGGTGGCTTTGCGAGATCTCACCTCTTCGCAGCGAGTTTTCTGCGGCGGTAGCATTAGTACGTATTCCACGTGAAATTTATTCAGAAAAACTTATACCGAAACATTTTCAATTACAGTAAGTAATCGGCACATAATGACCGCGGCGCATTGCATGCGCATACAACCGGATCCACGAAGGATCATCGCATATGTGGGCGATCACGACTTAAGCACCAGTGAGTAAAGGACAAACTGAAACTTAGGTCATGGCATACAGTTTTAATGCATAGTTTTTGTGCCTCTCTCCTCTCTCCCTTCAGCCAGCGATTCCATGTTCGCCGTGCAACATCGCATCCAGCAGATAATCGTTCATCCTGAATACGTATCCACAGTGGCCATTGTGGCGAACGATATGGCCTTGCTCATCACAATCGCGCGCATTGAGTGGTCACGTGGCGTTGGCCCCATTTGCCTGCCGCTATTGCAAGCGTTTGTTTAATCACTTTTTAAGCGACTACCTTTTTACCTAATTCTTATTTCTTACGTTCTCATCTCTCAGCTCTGATCTGTTCACTTACCGTACGGTGGATGTAGCCGGCTGGGGTACCACCTCCTTCGCCGGTCCCAAGTCGAATACGCTGCAGAAAGTCGAGCTGATGACTGTAGAGAATCGTGCCTGCGAAATGCAATTCAACACCAGCATTACCGCCTCACACATTTGCACCTACGATTATCGGGGTTTGGGACAGGACTCGTGTCAATATGACTCCGGTGGCCCCGTTATTCTCAGGCAACAGCAACAGCCAACACAGCCGTCACGCATGTATGCTCTGGGTGTAATCAGTTATGGTGGCGCGTGTGGCGCTCGCTTTGCGGTCGGCGTGAACACCCGAATCACTTCGTTCCTGGAGTGGATCTGGACGAATGTGCGAAGTGGTGGCGGTGTGTGTGCACCTTAAGCTGTTGTTTATTTATACGAAATATATATAAAATTAAATAGCGATTATTTTTTACACAATTTTCTGATTGTTTTTTATTTAATAAATAAACTTGATTGCATAAGGTTAGGTGAGAAAAGTGCTGCCTTAGCATGCGTTAGCAAGGCAAGTAGTGCTTAAAGTGTTTTAGTAAAAGGAAAGAAGTTATGTGTTGAAATTTATGTAGCTTTTGTATGTATGTATAAGTATGTCTGTTGGCATTCTTCTGTATTGTTTGCTATACATACCACCCATTGCCTGTTACTGTCGTTCTTGATGTTGCTTCTGCTACTGATGATTTTCATGATGATGACGATTACAAAAGGCTCAATTTGCATTTAAATTAAAATGGTCTCCTTCTTCGCCAAACGTCACTGCTCTAAATTTAAGCCACAATTGCTTTATAGTTTATGGAAAATTACAATCAAAATACCCACACTGCGATATTTGCTCACTCATTCACTACTGCCGATAGTAAATTGTCTCAACAAAAATGTTCCACTTAAATTTAAAGTGAATTTTTACCGTTATTAAGAAAAGTAATAGGATAAAAATATAAAAAAAGAATAAGAATATAAATATAAATCGAAATAATAAATAATAAGCAGGGACTGTAGTTGCCTTTCTTCTGGTAAGAGAAAGAGAAGTTTCGATTAAATATAACCACAATTTAGCTTTCCTCAACTCAAAATATACACTAAGCCGTACCACCTTACAAACCAACAAAAAAGTTCAGCGAAGACCGCCAAGTCTAAAGTATGTATCTATTTTTTAAATGCAATGTCGGAAAAACAAGATTTTTGTGAACATAGGGCTCGCCCTTTGCAATTTTTTCATGATACCTACATTCGGCAATAATTTTTTTCTAAATAAGTAGCTCAACTGAAATAATCAAAATACCTCCTTACCAAACTTTAATGATTTTGAGGGAGCTTTAATTTATTGGCATTAGGGTGGTGCGTTAAGATGGCAGGAACTGAGATCTGGTGGGTAAGTGCTAGGGCGATGGACTCGGTTTTTCCAAACCGGTTTTTTGATATCTATATGCGGCTTTTTTTAAATCTTGATTTTTCGAGTGTCGAATAAACCGATTTTTTTTATTTCAAAAAAATCTTGACCCCTCAATAAAAGTTTTTAGTTTTTCGAAGTTTTCAAGGCCTTTTCCAGTTTAAGGGAAACCCATAAATAGTTTTATAATTATGTTCTAGGTTTTTTGGGAATGAACAGTAAATAATATTTGATTCCAATAAATGAATGTTTGGCGCTTATTCATGTTGTGACACAAATGGAGAGCTCTACACCTTTACTTCACCTCCCAAGGAGCTTTTTTTATGGCAGAAGTACACTCGGCGATTTGCCATTGTCTGACGAGGAACGACGACTATTTAAAAAAGTTTTTTTTTATGTTTGCTGGGGCCAGGAATTCGCCATAGACCTCCCGTGTGGCAGTAGGCACCCTCCTCAAAACCGAAAAAGTCAAAAAATGCAACAAAGTATTACATAAAACTAAACGAGACTTTTCCACAGATTTTTATTTGTATTCCTTTTGATCTAAAAAAAAATTTTTACTTATTTTATTTTTCTCTTTTCTATATAAAAGCTAACTTTACTGTTAATAGTTGAATTGTAATTTTTGGTCAAGACTTTCATACCGTCATGGCATTTTAACTGAGGTCAATGAGGGGATTACTTGAGGCCAATGATCTTTGGAACAAAAAATGGTCTCCTCGAATCAATAAGACGACCTCTACGTTCGGCCAAAAAAATTAGTTTTCGAATTTGCCCTGCAAAAATACATACTTTAGACTCAGGGATTAGTTTAGATTAGGTGGCAGTTCCAGAAGCAAAGGACTCACTTAGACAATTAAGTTATTGTCGTTTGTCACTCATAACTCTGAACGACACCCAATATTTAATCGAGAAAACGCCTCCAGTCGATTACGTATTACGAATTGCACTAATCTCAATGCCCTCAAGCTTCTCAGGGCTAAAAGGATGTGCGAGCCAAAATATTTCAACTTTAGCCTCGCGAACGTTGGACACCTAAGAGCATAGTGTATAGCTGATTCCACCCCGCCATCTTCCAAGCAACTGCGACAAACGGCATTATGTAAAGTGTTCAGCCTCACTGCGGGAATACCGATTGGACAGTGAACCATTAAAACTCCCTCCAATAGTGAGGACTGTGGCTTTTCGCCTAGCTCTCGCTGAGCTGAGAGTGTACCACAGGTGATGAATGACACCCCCAGCCGCTCCTTATTCGGCGAAAACGCTTCGAGGTTACCTTTCCTAATTAGTTAGCGACACAGTTCCGCGAAATGTCGCTGTGACCCGGAACCCAAATGAGCCTAATACAGAAGTATTCCAACGCAACTAAAATAGAAAGGAAACATTTAGGCGCTTATGGCCGCTTGGCTGTCGGAATGAATCCTCAGCTCACTAACTGTCATCGTAGTCCGGAGCAGTGAATCTGCTTGAAATTCGCTGCAGCATTCTGGAAGCCTGAACTTAGTAATGATGGAAATCTCTCGACAGAAGACACTTCCACCAACCCCGTCGTCCAGTTTCGATCCACATGTGAAGAAGTGCATTGCTCCCGCTCTTCAGTAGTTCTGTCCGGTCAATTTCTTCCTTAAAACTCAGGGGTGTACGGCGAACTTTTTTTTCCAAAACGGTGTAATAAACACATTTTCCGTTGCATTTGCATTTTTCCTCAAAATACTCGATCTAATGCGGAATTTCCGCTAGGCATTGAAATGATGCAAAATTGGTGTCGTTTAAAAAATGCTCTGTGGAAATGAATTTAATGACTATTTTTTAACGTAATAACTGGAATATTTTTTAATGCCGAGCTTTGTCATTACAATTTTTGTCATTCAGTGCCTAGTGAAACCCCAGCATAAGTAAAAAGTTTTCATATGTTGAAATCTTAATACGATAATAAAAGGTGATATACGCGTACTTAGTAACAGCTCGTTTAGACGCTCCCTCAGCTGAAGGTTCTACTTTGGAAGTTTGAAAAGTGGAAGAGAAATGGGAGAAAGGTGAAGACCATTATGCGAAGCAGTACTAAATTATTTCTTACTTTTTCGCACCAAAGTATTAAATTAAAATTTGTGAAAAACAGATTTTTTTAGTTTAAAAAAAAAAGTTATATAAATCTAAGCTATATAAGATATATTTTAAGAGACATAAGATTTTAAACCTTATCTAAAGTTCGATTTATGGGATTTTGACATAAATATACGTGAAAATATAAAATTACTAGCCATTTTTTGTAAAAAAACTGAGAGTGCCAGTTTTAGTACTTTTTGATGAAAATCACTACAGTTTCTCAGAGGTAAATTTAATTTTTCTAAGCGAACTTGAGATGGTGATTGGAGCGAGACGAATTGCTAGCGTATAACACCCTTTTTTATTGTATTATGTGATGCAGCTACACATCGCACCCTAAATCAAACCCCGTCACAACTCAAAATTTTTCAAAATCGATTGTTCCCATAAAAAAGTTCACAAACCCTATTTCTATCGTCCGCCAAAATTTTTTCTACTAAGACTGTTTTTGTTTTGCTTGCGTCGCGTGCATCGATTGCACAGTTTTTTGCGTTTCCTGAACATTTGAGGTTTTTTGAGTTGTGACTGTTTTTGATTTAGGGTGCGATATGTATGTAATACATAGATAATTTTTTTATTTGAAAAATTAACATTTATAAAATGAATACCTTTACCCCCTATTTTTCGGTTTTTACTTTTTTTTTTTTTTTTTAGACCTTTTCCAGCTTATTTCCGTTTATTTTGCCTTTTTACAGATTTTTATGTCGGTCCTAAAAATCCAGAGTAGTTAACCGTTATGACAAGCATGAGTTTCTGATATTACCCTTTAAGAAAGGACAGCTAATGCAATGATATTAGAATGTATGTAGTTAAAATAAAATATTTTGCAAAATATTTTAAAGCCTTCAAAATCATGCCTAAGCAATATCATATAATCAATCCTATTACTATACCAGCGCTGACATATCCCTACAAAGTAGCAAATTGAAAAATTCTACTTATTTCTTCTCATAATACCCTTTATTTTCTGCTTGATGTTAATGCAGTTTCAACCGCCTCCACTTTTTTATTATTATGAACAAAATGTGGCCAAGTGCACTTAAGTAATTCTTCATAATTGTTATTGTCATCGCCGCTTGTGTTGAGAACCACCAACCAACCCAGCACACACAAGCACACATCCATCCAACGGCCTCACTCTGTGTCTTCGCGCTGGCACACAAAGCGCTTAAGTTCATTTGTGTAGCTGTGTTAAAGCAGAACGGAAACAAAAACACAAGCTGAGAGCAATAATATAAAAAATATATAATAAAAAAGGACACTTGACTGCCCGATTGCCGCACACTGCAAGCGCCAGTCAGTCATTCAGTGCCCCAATGCTGGCATCGACTCGACAAGCATTTCCTTAATGCTTAACAGCGACATCAACATCCTCATCAGATCAGCAGAACACCGAACGAATAAATAAAGGACGTAAAACAATGTTGCAACAAAGTCTCTTCACGCGAAAGTAGCCAAAGGAAAAAAGTGTGGCATAGAAAAAATTTTAAGAAGCAAGAATACAAGAGACCCACACACACACCTACATACATATGTACATATGTCATATGCATACAAACAAATTTAAATGCATTGCAATAAAGCATAGAAGGTGGGTGGCAACAACCAACAACGAACAGCAGCAGCCGCAATCACTGCTACAACACCAAACAACAACAACAACAACACTAACAAAGATATTATGCGAAAGTAGGAACAAAGAAACGCAAATGCGAAAGCTAAAAGTAAAATGCAAATGGCAAAAGGCAAAGGCAAACGACCAAAAAAAAAAGGGTTAGTTTAAGTGGGCTACCCAATGTGCAGCAGTGGGTGCTCCGCTCGGGCGCAAGTGCCACCAGCAAGCGCAAGTGAAGTGGTGCTCCACACCC